CTCTTTTTTATCTTCGGGTGTTTGATTGTGATAAACTTTGGAGGGATTTTGGTAGAGAGTTGTGTTTGGAATTTTGTTTGACGTGGGAGCCAGACAAAAGTTTATTATTATGGGTGATTGTATTTTTTGGGAGATGTTACCGTCTATTACGTAATTATTTTCTAGAGATTTGTAATTGTTAGATCAATTATAATTATTCACGATAATTACAGCACGATATAATAGTTACAAATTTCGATGGAACAGTTTCGTAACGGACATGAGCAGATCCATTAAAGGACTAGTGTGGGCCTAGGCGCACACTGAAATTTTGAAGAAATTTTTTAAGTAGTATTTAGAATTATAAAAATAGCCAATTAAGAATTTTAACTTCCATTATGTAGGTGCATTTGTGAATATATAATTGGATCTCTCTATAAAATGGCTATTGCATTTTGTTTTTTTATCATTAATTACTTTTTTATTTTTATTTAGGAATCAATACTATTTGTCCTTTTTTTCTTATATTTTGACCTTATATGTAATTGATAATTACTTAATATGACTTATAGTAAGAAGAAAAAAATAAAAATATTTCTTATTATATTAATTAATTCACTTACATAGTTAAATTGATCCAAAAAATTTTAGTTAATTAATAACTCACATAGATATTATAAGTTTCCACATATGGTGTTGTAAATTTGATCCCAAAAAATTTAGTTAATTAATAGTTCATATAAATGTACAATTTTACACGAAAGTAACACAACTAATATTTTAAAATTATATTTACAACTAATATTTTATCTACATAAAAAAATAGAAGGAGTTAGATACGTGACTTTGTTCCTTTCCTTTTCATTCAATCAATATTTATCTTTTTGAAACTAAGAAAATAATAAAAAAAAAATCATAAATATACTACTTATTTAATCCTACCTTTTTATCTGCAAGTAACACAACTAAAACATAATAGATTCATATTATGTTATACTTATTGGAAAAATCAGTTATAAAACTTGGGTTTGACTCGGTTTTGACTGAATTTTTTATGGTTAAATATTTAATTTGAGTTGAATTAAATATTGTAGAAAAATTCTACGTTCCGAGTAGATACTCGTGGTATATTTATTTTCTCAAAACTGATTTTCGGTGAGTGAGAAATAAATTGTTAAAGTTAGCCATAAAAGGGCACGTAAAACGTTGATTGTGGGTTTTGAAGGGTCAAGAGTCACTCCCACATTGGACTCTTAAATGAGTTTTACTCTCTTTATTATAATAAAGAGAATTGGAGAGGTTACAACAAGCACAAAGCTATGCACCAAGTGTTGGTGTTGTTTTCAGCCACACGCGCGCGCGCCCGCCGGCTCGGGCTCGGGCTCGGGCCTGGGACTTGGTTCTTGGCAATTGGACTTTGGGTTGGACTTGGGCGGTTGGGCTTGGGCCTTGGGCCAATCACTACATATCTTTTTGCTGCAAATTTATTTGCAATTTTAGGCCCAACCGGAAAATTCAATTTGGATTTGGACTCGAGTTTTGACCCAACCCAAGTGAGACCTCTCCATGTACAATAAATCTGGACACATGACCTTTTATGTGAAATATAACACCTGACCTTTCATGTGGAGTGTTAATGGCTGGTTAATGGTGTAGTAACACCTGGTTAATGGTGTAGTAACACCTGAAACGTTTTCAGGTTAATGGTGCCCATTTATCTCAGCCTTAAGTGGCTGATGTAACTCTTGGTTCTCTCTCAGAGGTGGAAGTCCTATAAATATGACTTAGAGATGCAGAGAAAAGAACACAACATTGCATGCACTCTGAATACTCTCAAAAGCCTCACGCATCATATCATACTGTTTTGTTCTCGACTTCATTCCAGTTCGTCGGAGCTCGAATTCTGGTGTGCTGCAGTATTTGAGACGTAAGCCGTTGTATCTTTGGGGACGAGACGCCTGAACCCGTCAGCACTATGCGGGGCGTTCCCGTCTTGCGGAAAGAGCAATCGACTCGGATGTTTTCACTTTATCTTTTGTAATTTTTGATTTTGTTTTAGTTCAAATTGTACGAACTGAACACTTCAGTCAATTCATAGGTTCCTGCTGTAATCAAAACACTACATTGTGTAACAATACTTTTTAGTAATATTGTTATTAATTCTCTAACATATTTTCATATGGCATTAAATTACATCAACTTTAATTATTACATTTTTATCTTGTATTCATTCACAATTATAATTCTATCTCACTTTTTATCTCGATTTTCAAATGAGACAAGATTTTTGAAAAAAAAAAAAAAAATATTATGCAATTGCAACCTACAACTTCATTTTATTATTCGGATAGTTTAGTTACAATATCCATTTAGGCCCTCACTCATGCAAATTTCTAGATCCGCCCCTAGTAATGGGACCGTAGCAATTTCATGTATTTTTCTCACTTATGTCAAATTTGAAAATTGAGGAGCTTTATCTCATGAATTTAGAAGCATTTCATATTAAGTGGACGTGTCTTTGTATTTTTCTCATCTGTGTCAATTTGAGCATTGATGAGAAGCTTTACGCCTTTACCTAATGATTTTAGAAGTATTTCATAATAATTGAGATGAAAATTTATGTAGTTTTCAATATTTTAAATACTAACAAATATATTGGATAAGCCACTATGACTATATTTGGTAAAACTAATTGATAAGGTGGCTGACAGCTGATAAGCTAATTTATAGCTTATCAGTAACTTTTTAGCTTATAGCTTATAGTTTATGACTTATAGCTGATAAGCTAGCTTATATGATAAAAGTGTTTGGTAAAATTAACTGGTAAGATAGCTGGAATAAAAAAAATTCAACTAGCTTATTTGAAAAGCTACCTAAGCAAGCTTATCAAAAAAGCTCGTTCTACCAAACGAGGCTTATTTGAACAATTATAGCCAAGTCATCTGTTCAATCGTTAAGCTATAAGCTATAAAGCGAAGTGAAGTCATAGAAGTCTCATTGAAAATTCTCTTTTTGATTCTTTAGTCCGTTCCATTGTAGTCTTTACTTCTTTGCTTGTTCACACTTTCGGATAGGACTTTCGGGTGGGAGCCAAAGGGTCAATGAAAGCAAAAGAAGAAAGAAGTCGAAAGAGATATTGTTCTGGTCTTGCCTGAGAATATTGTATAGACTGGACATTCACTATCCCGCCGGAGATCACAGATTTCGGTTAGAGATGATCGGCACAGAGTGAAGAGATTTCGGTTAGTTGAAAGAGTTTGATAGTAATCCGCTTTCAAGCCTGCTAGGTAAAAGTGCCAGAGGAAAGGATCCCAATGCGAGAATGAAGCTCGTCGCGTGAAGATTCTGAAGTTGCATCTAACGGAGCTTCTAGTACCCTTTTCGCCTACTCTTACGAATGCTTTCTTTTTCCTTTGCTTGTGATTTGGTCGAGAGAGGACACTCGATGTAATTGACTACGACACCCTCACAAACGTCAGGAAAAAAAGTTGGCTGCAAGAGGGCTATTATCATAGCGCCTGTAATTGGTTAATAAGTCAAATCATACGAAAAGAGAAGGAAAAGAATGGGGTGAAAGCAGACAAGCTTGACTTGGATAGAGCGGAAGCACCTGCTGGGCTACAGTCTCAGCGCAGTAACGCATAAAGACATTATTCCCCGTCCCACGACAATTCCAAGTAAGAACCTTCATTGAGAAAATTGATCAATCACAAGAAAAAGCCCTTACCCAAGAAGATTATCTTCTTTTTCTTAAGTAGGAGAGCAAAGTGAGTCTCGACGTTGCCAGGAGAGGTCAATGTAATCGAACGACCAAACAAACTTCGAAGCGAAGTGAATTCATAGAAAAACCAGAAGGAAAAGAACGGACTAAAGCGAGGAGTTCATTAGCCATACGTAGCCAATAGGCCAATCCAAACTTACGTATAAAGCAAAAAGCATTGAAACTAACA